AGAGAGAGAGAGAGAGAGAGAGAGAGAGAGAGAGAGAGAGAGAGAGAAACATGGAGTGTTGGAAGAGGTGGATGTTCAGGTTTGATAAATACAAAAAAGGGTATTTTTGACTCAATCAGCCAGTTATGACACAAAATAGATTCCTGCTGTGATGACACCTTAATTACCCTTAAAAAATACAACTATAAATGCGCCATAGCCACTTAGGAAACCTGTGGCGTTCTGTTTATTCTAACAAAATACTGAGATCCTTGAAGAGTGCTTCTGTGGGTGTGGGAGACACAAGTCAGCTCAGTTTCTTTTATGTCTGTCAGCCTGTTCTCTGCCTCCTAATAGTCAAACCTGAGCAGCATCATGACAGCCTCTCTCTGTGTTCACCAGACCGACTTCCTGACATGTATGCATGTGTGTGTTTGTGCCACTATTCCTATGAAGGCTAAATATCTTTACTTAATAAGTGTGCAAACTGAAGCGTCGGCCCGCTGTGAGTTCTGCTCATGTCCTCTGCTGTTAAAGCCTACCTGTACACTAAAACATGTTTTTTTAAGCACGACTTTTCAAACGTTACTCTTGTCAGAGTAGAGATGTCCCTGAGAGAGTATTCATATCATCACTACTTGAAGAGAATACTGAGAGAGTCAAGTTTATGGGCATTGAGCAGTGTGAGTCGGATATCCCTGGAGATGTACAAAATCCTCCCACACCATGCTGATACTATTTCTCTGGGCCACTATTTGAAAACAAATAAAACATATATTCAGCTGTGGGTGGACAACATTAACTGCCTGTCTGACATCAGATTTCTTTTTTTTAATTAGAGACCAACGCAATATCTCTGTCTAACCCTCCCGGAGGCCGTGTGACACAGATTATCCTCCCTCTGATCTGTGAGCTGCTCTGCGGCACAAGAGGATTATCGCGCCTCGCGGCGGCCGCTGATACCGCCGCAAGCTCGGGATTCCCCTTCGCTCTTCGCTCTCCCTTCTGACGGATCATTTTGTGGTTTCCTATTTGTTACTCTGGCTCGTATTTTGTTGCTATTAAGTGGAATTGACAGGACAAGGTCAGGGTGATGCTGCTGATCCATGCAGATCAGATGCGGTTTGTGTCGGGTCGTGACCCAAATAATGAAAGATTTAAGTTCAAAATGACTCCAATACTCAAACGCTTCTCATGTTTTTTTACTGCGGCTCTTTTGAGTGAAGTTGTTTTTCCAAATGAAAGCAGGTGAAACTAGAGCCGGACTCGACCTGTCCCTGTAGACGTCATCCAATTGCTCAGTCGGCCGAGTGTGCTGACCCATATTGAGTGGCGACACGGTGGGGTCAGCTCTTTGGTGTTGACATGACCAGTTCCCACGTGAGTATAGGTGGGGCTATAAAAAGAGAGCAGACAAAGGAACTTGTCAACACCCGATACTCCCTTTGTGGTTAGACTTTACAGAGGAGACAGATTTGACGGAGGACAGACAGGAAGGAGGGGTTCCATCTTTGTTCTTTCTACTGTCTGGTTCTGATAACTCACGGACCGAGCTGTCTGGACACATCATCAGTTTCCTTTCAACACGTTTTCATATATTATTACTTGTATATTATTCAGTTGCATTGAACCATCTGGCACCACTTGATTATGTCCAGATAATGTGCAAACATGCAGCAAATAATCTAGAACCAGAGATGCTTCCTCCTCTTCTATCTATGACTTATTGTCTGCAGCCATAGATCCATTAGTTGTAACTTGATAAGAGTCAGCGTTACCCTAACACACTATTAGCTCATTAGCCAGGAGGCTAATTTAACAAACCACTTCAGTATCATTGACTTCTTGTTTTTTTCAGCTTTTGTTTCCACTCTTCCTCGCGAAGTAACATGCAAGCCAGACGTGTTTCATACAGTACGACGGCAACAATTAGCTGAACAGATGTTAGGTCATAATTATTTGTGACAGTTTCTGCTCGTTAGTGTCATTTCAAAATAAACTTCAAAGTAGCTTTACCTACCCAACAAGACTACTTGGTTATGTTTAGGCAACACAATTACATGTATAGATTTAGAAAGGATTGTGGTTTGGGTCCAAATAAGTATATTTGTTGCCTAAAATAAGTACTCTTGTTACGTAACTGGTGTTAGTAAGGCAAGAGATAAGATAAATATCGTTTATTATTCCCACATCGGGGAAATTTGCAGCATTACAGCATTAAAGGGTAAAGTGCATCAACAAATATAAAATATAATCATAGACAGACTGAATGGTTGAGTTCACATGTGAAAGAGGAAATAGGAAAGGTGAATAAGTTCGGTCAACGTTCAACGGTGGTCTCCTGGGTGAAAGTCCTGTGTTTGTTTGGCTCCTCCCACCAGCCCTTTGGACCTTTTCGCATCCGTGCTATTTCTACATCAGTTTTCTTCAGACTGTCTAATAATGACGCAGACGGGTTTGAATCGGCGTCACTTGAAAGTTTGGCGTGTCACACAGACGCTACATGGTACCCGAGGCCGAGGGGCACTGAGCAAGCGTCGGTGTTTGACGAGTCGGGAGCATCAACGTGTTGACATAAGACGCGGTATGTGTGCGTACGAGCATGCACGTACACGCGTGGATGTTGCCACTCAGCTTGTGTCCCATTAAAAACATTGATAGGTGGGTAAAGAGAGAATTCTTCCCTTTCTAAGGCCTCAAAGTACACTGAAGTGCTGTGAGCAGAGGCGTCCCTTCTCCGTGAAAAGACAACACTGTGTCCCGGGATGTTCATTCAGACTCCGGCTCACATTCATGCTGAGCTGAGCTACTGCACCAGTTTTCTCCCCATGACTCACGCTTCTTTTTTATTTTTCTTGTCGTTTCAGGTGAATGTTGATGACACCGTTGAAATGTTACCAAAATCAAGAAGAGCTCTCACCATTCAAGAGATCGCTGCGTTAGCGCGATCTTCCCTGCATGGTGAGTATGCGACAATCAACCTAAACGCTCACGAGTGCATTCCATCTCAAAGGTTATGCTGTAGCGTGACCCCGTGCTTTATTTGTTTTTGCAGGTATTTCCCAGGTAGTGAAGGACCATGTGACAAAGCCTACAGCCATGGCTCAGGGCAGGGTGGCCCGCCTGATAGAGTGGAAAGGCTGGTCTAAGCCTATGGACACTCCAGCAGCCCTGGAATCGGACTTCAACTCCTACTCGGACCTCACGGAGGGAGAGCAGGAAGCCCGCTTCGCTGCCGGTAAGACTTCTGTTTTTGCACAAAATGTACTACACACAAAACAACAACCTTGCTTTACTACATAAAGTCTGAGCTGAGGGAGCTGGCTTTTGAATGTGCACGAATGAGTTGAAGACAAGCACACTGAAGAGATGACTCACACACCTCGGGCCAGACAGCTTATGTAAATAATGATCACAGAAGAAATCTCAATTAAATGAAAAACCATGACCACAATGTAAACATATGTAAATAAGGAGCAGATCAAAATCAAAAAGAGAATTTGCAGAATTTATCTTAAAAAAAAGCTTTTTTTTTTCCTCCATTCCCCATTTAAACCTGCCGTTAACACGCTCACAGGGTCTCGCGGACCACATCTGTGATCAGATCTCAGCGAGGTGTGAATGTAATCTGTACGGCATGAACTCATTTAACATGGCACTCCAGTGTATTAGTATGCAGCATATATCAGACATATAAGCTGCATACGTTTAATACACACTGCTGCTGCCCTTTACAAAGTGCGTACTGTTTTCATGCATTCAATTAGATCATCCTTCTTCCTCATAACATGACACCTTGAACTTTGACCCTCTTGCTCATATATCTGCATGCTGTCTTGCATGCTTCACAATGCGACCGTGTGTAGAAGGACATCCTGGTATTTATGGCGCACACTGCATTTGACATGCTCTGTATTGGGACGTATTTAATCCGTGTCTGGCATACTAGATAGTGTGGTAGTAGTGGAACGCATTTAACATCAACGTCCCCCACTTTGATTCTGGCTGGGGATATCCCAACCTGTCCGTCCGTATGTTTTTGTCCGTCATTATTTCATAAAGGCAAAAAGGCAAAAATGCTAAAACATCTACCCAAACAGCAGAGGCCAAGACATCCTGTCACGCTCCCAGAAACACTGGATCCTGCACTACCCGTCACGCATTCACCGCGGCATCTTTCAGACACGCACCTCAAAACCGCTTTCTGTTCATCAAATCTGTTGTGTTTTAAAGCACAAAACTCGGATAATCCTGATTACATCACGAGGTTTATTTTCTGAGATCTGCCAAATCAAAATCCTCCCAGGAAGTTGAGAGGTCACCTGACCTTCTCTGAATCACAGCGCGGGCAGAACCAAGATAAGAAGATCCCTTCTTTTTAATACCAGGTGATAAATAAAAAGATTAGATGTTATAATCCAGATAGAGCTTCCAGATACAGATCGCGTGTTGATTCCAGGTGTAAATGTTTGATTCTGCAGCTCCTCTCAGAGCGCCGCTCACCCACAGCTCACCTCCCTCCTCTTATCTCTTACTCTCTCCCGCCCCCTCTATTGATTACCCCCTTCAACCTATTCACGCTGCCCTCTCTTTTAAAGTTCCTCTCTGCCCCCGTTTCCCCCCCCCCCCCCCCTCCCCCCTCCCCCCATTCTCTCGCTCGCTCCCTGCAATGCAGACTCTCAAGGTTAATTTGCACAGTAAGGTTTCGCTCCTGGCTATGGTGCCACCGTGACTGAGCCATTTTCTTACGGGCCTCCTCTGTTCTCCTTTCTTTTTTTTCCGTTTCTCTGATATTGTAATATTCACATGACTTTTGTTTGGGTCGAGGTTTTCATGTGCGACTGTAGGGAGTCAAACAAGCTGATTTTTAAAGGGACACAAAATAGTTCTTTAGATGGATAGATAGATTTATGGTAGAGTCACATGTAATAACAAGGTCTCTGCACACCCCTTTCTTTTGTTCATTAGTGTACTTTGACTAGCAGTCAAGGGTTGGGAAGACATGTTGGTAAGTGGTAAAT